CCTTAGCCGGTTGAGCTATAGGCGCCGAGCCAAAAAGCACCCACTTTTTTAGTGCTAATGTAAGTTGCCCACAATCACTTATTTTGGAAGACAAGGATATGCTCACAGGATGTGCAATGACATTCTAACAGGGAGGGATGGCCAAAGGGAAAACAATTAACAGAGACACAAAATTGTCATTAGTAGGGGTGTGAACAACAGCTGACAGAAACAATCCCACATAAACTTAGAATCTAAGGCTTTCACAAAAAGCAAAAATTAAGAATAACCTTTGAGAATTAACAAGGAAGGTAATGAATATAAAAAAGAAATAGTTTTAGCCGTGTGGCTCAAGGCATTAGATACCTTGATGGTTTTATTGAGAAAACAGAAATAGGAACCAGACTGGTAAGGACAACTTTTAGATAAATAAAAAGAATTAATTAGTTTGGTGTATAATTATAGTTCGTATAGAAATGTCTCTATGAAGGATGGCCCTCTTACTACTCTGTAACTGGACATATTCCATACAATCAACAATTTTTGTTTAAGTTTCTGAGACCACAGAAAAGCTTTAGAATCATTCCTGATAAAATCATAATGACATCAGGGGACATGATGGCTCACACCCATAATCCTAATACACTAGGAGGCCAAGACAGGAGGATCACTTGAGCTCAGAAGGTCAAGATCAGCCTGAGCAAGCATGAGACATTGTCCCTACCCAAAATAGGAAAATTAGCCAGCTGCTGTTTTGCTATATTGCAGAATCCCACCTAGCCTAACTATGTTAGTTACAAGGTTTCAAAAGTACTTAGCAAAAGACTGAATTAGTGAGCAAGGGTAAAAAGACCTGGATTAGACTGGAAGCTACGAGAAAGAAGAAAATACCAACCAGAGGCTTGGCGCCTATAGCTCAACCGGCTAAGGCGCCAGCCACATACACCTAAGGTGGCGGGTTCGAATCCCCAGCCCGGACCCGCCAAACAACAATGACAGCTGCAACCAAAAAAAAAAAAAGCCGGGCGTTGTGGCGGGCGCCTGTGGTCCCAGCTACTTGGGAGGAGGAGGCAAGAGACTCGCTTGAGCCCAGGAGTTGGAGGTTGCTGTGAGCTGTAATGCCACGGCGTTCTACCCAGGGGGACAGCTTGAGGCTCTTTCTCAAAAAAAAAAGAAAATACCAACCAGAAAGACAATTAAAAAGGCAAAGAGATTTAGCAATGAAAGGGAAGATAAAAGTTTTCTAGTCTGAGAGGATGAAAGAGCTCAGGTAATAGGCATTCACTAATGAATAAACATGGTAAACACAACAGAGATATCTTCTTTATGAAGACCACATTTTTATTTCCGAAAAGAAAATAGAGGCATAATGTTATGTAGCAATAAGCTAAAAAAGAAAGACAAAGGAGATGTTATTAAGGAAAGCTGATAAATAATGAAAAGTTTGGTTTGACTATGGATAAATTTGAGGCTACAGGGCATCATTTATGTAGAGGCAAATGAGATATTGAGAATTGGGTGAGAGACTGGGGTAAAGATAGAGATGTGAGTTCTCTGCATAAATGGGATGATTAAAGTCCTAAGGATTTATATGGTTACTTCCTAATTAAAAAAAAAAAGAACTGGTAAACTTATGTTCTAAGATCTTATTTCTCTAGAATCAAGCTGTTTTCAAGGTACACACTCACAGTGCCTAGATACAGAAATACTCAAAAGAGGTAGATGTGCCTTTAATTTTGGTTCCTGAGACATAACTAAAATGTGATTTTACATAGCAGTCATGAAAAATGTTACCGTAGCAGTGTCTGGATTGTAGTCATCGATCTGTTCAAAAGTATTTATATCTTTATTTCCAAGTGCTATTTGAAGAGCTATAGAATTATCAACATACCTAGGTTGGTGAGATTAAGGAAAAATGCTTTTATTAACAATCAATCAAATGATACTGTACTAAGATAGAAAAATGTTTCCTATTGTCACAGAAAACGTTTAGGTTTATGACTATAGGGATCATATGCAGTTTCTACACCAGCATTACTGAAACCACAGACACAGTTTGCTAGTGTCTATTCGTCTCTGCAGGAATTGACCATCTTGTGAAGCAAAGCCCCAAACCATCACCAATTCCTTCCCTTTCAAGGGACGTGGAGGGGTAAGTCCCAGCCACCATCTAAGTGACTCAGGGCTCTGCACCTGCCTGAGTGCATGTGGCCTGGGGCTATAGGAAGAGCATCCTCTGCTGGGTGTGTTCCAATACCCGGAGTAGTCTTCCTGAGAAACTGAGCTCCCCTTGCAATGAGGGGTCTGCAAGTGCCACCTTTGGAATTTGTACTGTGATAGGCTGTCAATCTGCTCCCTTCAGTCGATATAAGTAATAATTAGTATGCTATACAAGATGAGCCTTAGATTTTTTTTTGTTTGTTTTTGATACAGAATCTCACTTTGTCACCCGTGGTAGAGTGCTGTGCTGTCACAGCTCACAGCAACCTCCAACTCCTGGGCTTAGGTGATCCTCTTGCCTCAGCCTCCAGAGTAGCTAGGACTACAGGAGTCTGCCACAATACCCAGCTATTCTTTGTTGCAGTTTGGCCGGGGCTGGGTTCAAACCCACCACCCTCGGTATATGGGGTTGGCACCCTAGCCACTGAGCCACAGGCACTGCCCAAGCCTTAGGTTTGCAAACAAAAACCTGTTCTAACTTTTCACTAGCATGGTAATTAAAGTGAACAAAATACAGATTTCACTACAAAAGAAGAAAGCAAAAAACAATCTACAAGCTTTTTACTGAATGTCTCATGAAAAATATATCCTAAAAATATAGAGGAAACACAAAATTCTACCATTCTGGTTCAGAAAGGATACCGCCCAGCATAGCTTAGTGTTTCAGGATCAATGTCATCTTCATAGGCATTCAGAGGGATTAGTTTCCTTGTGATGGGATCAAAAACTAGCTGATAAAGGAAGGTATTGTTGGCTCGAATAAATCCTTTGATATAATCTTCTGGTACTGTTATATTCATCTTGAGATAATGTCCAATTTTCTTGATAACCTAATAAGGGATACAAAAATATTTTGTCTGCAACTAAAGAATAGGGAACGTATTATCCTCAAGAACAATCCATGTACATTAGCAGGGACTGAAAAATCAATTGTTCTCAACTACATAAAAAACGCTACTGGCAAACACAATCATGTAAAATCACTTAAAATTCTAAGTCTCATTACTATTTTTTTTTTTTTTGGTTTTTCAATTATTAATACAAAAGACCAAAAATCCATTTATATATCAAGTTTATATTTCTAGGTGTGACTTTACATTATTCACCCTCAACGTCCCTTTCATCCAGAAAGCAACAAAACTAACAACATACAAAACCTGAGAATTAAAGCAAACAAATATTCTTAGATCATATTTTTAAACTAGGCTGACATTCTGATGTCTGTGAGAATCATAGATGCTTAAAGCTAGAAGGGATCTTAAATATTATACATCAAACTCACAGATGAAGGGAAGACCCAGTCAAGTAAAGTGATTCTGGAGTTACAGGCTAGTTAGGGCATGTGGTGCTATTCCCACCTGGGACACGAACTCCCAAACTAGAAATCTTTCCATTATATTACACTACCCCGATCATGGAGGACTTAGGCTTTCTACTAGAAACGGAAAATGGGATTTCCACTCTGCAAACTCGGGGCTTTGGAGACCCAAGATGGAAAGTGAGCTTCTTTAATGTATGTTTATTTTTTAAGAAAAAACTACACAGCAGTGATACATTGAGTCTTGGAATATTCCAGAGGAGATATATATATGCATGACATATGATATCAAATGAGACTGAATGAGGAAGTAGATATAGGTTGTTTTGTGGAATTTTGAAATATTTACACATTCATAATGAGATATCTTAGGAATGTGACCCAAGTCTAAACACAAAATCCATTTATGCTTCATATACATCCTACACCCATAGCCTGAAGACAATTTTAGACATTTTTTAATAGTTTTGCCAGCCCTCACAAGAGACCAAACGCAGCCCTGGCCAAAAACTACAAAAAAAAAAAAAAAAAATCACCCTTACCTTTACAATATCTGGGTTATTGGCTAGTCTTAATACTTTGCATGCCTTTGCTAATCCAATTCCGCGCAGGGAGGGCAGATAATCACAGCCTGAAAGGATACACATGTAGCGAAACTTCTCCTCTGTGAACATATCCCCAAGTTGTTTGCACATTCCTAGCCGGGCCTGATCAATTTCCAGTCCATTCCCAAATTGGTCCATTTTTAAAATTACCTTCAAAAGGAAGGGAAATTATTAATAACCTGGAAGGGACACTCTTATTTATCATTAATTCTAAATCTTTCTTGTTTTTCACTGTTATACTGAGAGACAGGAGTTATAGGTTGGCATGTTAATGATTACTAAATTTACAAATAAATTAAACCTAAGTATTTTCTCCTTCCTTATTTCTTATATTCTGAAGTAATCTTTTTTCTTATTATTAATAAGTAATACATGTTTATTACAGAAAATTTGGAAAATATAGAAATACAGGAAGAAGAAAACAGAAGTTGCCCGGATTCCATCATTTACACTATTACTCAGCATTAATCTTTTCATATAGATGTTTCTAGTCGTCTATGAAAACACTGTAAGCATTAACAAAAATGAGATCATTTTAGTTTTGCCTCTTAATCTTTCCCCTTAATATTTCATGACAAAGTTTTCAATTAAATAGTTTTATACATAACTCTAAACAACTACATAGCTTCTCGTAAGTTATGAGTCCTGAAACTTTTTAAACAGGGGGCCAGTTCACTGTCCCTCAGACGGTTGGAGGGCTGGACTATAGTTTAAAAGGATAGGCAGCGGCAGCAAAAACACCCAGCGGGCCGGATAAATGTCCTGGGCAGGTCACATGTGGCCCATGGGCCGTAGTTTGAGGATGCCTGAAACATATACAAGAAAAAAAAAAAAAATAGCTCGGAACCTGCAGCTCAGTGAGTAGGGCAGTGGCCACATACACCCAGTGGGTCATGGTGGTGGGTTTAAGCCTGGCCTGGGACTGCTAAACAAGACAACTGCAACCAAAAATTAGCCGGGCATTGTGCCGGGCTCCTGTAGTCCCAGCTACTAGGGAGGTTGAGACAAGAGAACCTCTTAAGCCCAAGAGTCTGAGGTTGCCGTGAGCTGTAATGCCATGGCACTCTACCAAGGGTAACATAGTGGGATTACCTCAAAAAATAAATAAATACAAGGACATGTTATCATTTTTTTTTTGTTTGTTTTGAGACAGAGTCTCACTATGTCATCTTCAGTAGAGTGCTATAGCGTCACAGCTCACAGCAACCTCAGACTCTGGGGCTTAAGTGATTGTCTTGCCTCAGCCCTGAGACTACAGGCGTCCACCATGACGCCTGGCTATTCTTTCGTCACAGTTGTCATTGTTGTTTAGTAGGCCCAGGCCGGGTTCGAACCCTCCAGCCTCAGTGTATGTGGCGGCGTCCTACTCACTGAGCTATGGGTGCTGAGCCAGGACATGTTATCATTATTATTATTTTTAAGAAATAGGATCTCGTTCTGTTGCCCAGGCTAGAGTGCATTATAGTGATCATAGCTCAATGTAAGCTCCAACTCCTAGGCTCAAGTGATTCTCTTGCCTTGGACTCCCTATAGCTAGAGCTATAGGTATCAGCCACCATACTCAGCTTTTTTTTTTTTTTTTAAACAGGCGAGATCTTGCTATGTTGCCCAAACTAGTCTCAAACTCTGCTGCAAGCACTCCTATAATATCAGCCTCAGAGTCCTAGGATTAGTGGTATGACTCCCAAACCCTCCAACCTTAAGGCCTTACTCTAAAAAAAAAAATCCAGATTATACAATAGTCAAGTAGCAAAATGCTTCTTTTCATTTTAAAATAATTAAAATTATAAAAGTAGATGTTAATTATAGACAATAAATTGATTATTCTTGGACAGGAAAAACTTCAGATCCTTGACATACTCACACTACTTCCATCTACACAGAAAAAAAAATAAGCAGTTGCAGTTAAGTACCTTTTTACAGCCAAAAGCCAGGAGGTCAGAGTCCTCTGTAATTATAGCTTGTACAATACCAGCTTTGTTGAGATAGGCCAACTGCGCATCAGCTTCATACGGAGCCACGAGGCAATCTACTCCCTGAGACCTAGCAGCCTGTGCGAGAGGATCACAGTTACCTCCTGCACAGCACTTGGGTAGTATTATACCAGACAACTTCCTGTTTCAAATCCACTTCACTATTAATTTCTACATGCACATACTAATATTACCTTTAAAAAATCATTTCCTTTAGAGTTTTTCTACCTTTAGTTCTAGTGTATGTTTAATCTTGTAACATTAAGAAATTAAAACTGTACATAAATTTGGAGAAAAGAACTATTGCTACACATTCAGAACAACAACAAAACACCTTTAAGCTACAAAATTAATCATTTCAAATTATAGAAAGCTTCTATCTTAAAAATGGTTATATTGCAAAATAATAAATTTGTTTGGACCTTTGAATATATTTCTCCACAAAAATAATAGGTTGTCCTCTCAATTTGATACTGTATTAATAAAATTACAGACCCTTGTCACTGTATTTAAACCAATGATCCTAGGCAAATAACCTTGCAAAGAAAAATAATCCCTATCCCTGTTTCAAAGTCCAGGCAGTTGGAACAGGTATGTCCTTGCCTCAAGTCGAAGGAATAATTCCTAAGGCCTGAGGAGCAGCTTGGAGAACTAAAAAATGGGGAAAAGAGGTATCACGATCCTGCTACTATCAATATTGGTGACAATCTGCAATCTGCAAGGTTTTTTTTATCCTTGCCCAGCGAATGTCCTATTCTCAGCCTTTTACACCACTATTTGGGTGCAATTGGGGTTTCTTCTCTACTTCTGCACACAGGGTAGCCTGTCTTCCTGTGGCTAAACCGAGTGCACATTTCCCCCTCACATTTCACACTTTCTCCTGCACGCCATCCTTTCCTTCAACCATGACCCATACAGAATGAGCAAAGAAATACCCACAGGATTAAAGAGCCCAAAAAGAATTTAGTGCTTATTTCAGCTTAGGAACCAAATGGCAGTTCTGTAAGCTAAAAAAAAAAGCTGATCTCACCTTTATCATCATGCCTTTACCAAGCAGTTTGAACACAGGCCCTAAACAGGGGAGAGAGAGGGCTGGGACTATGAGCACAGTGACACTAAGATTTACAGTGATAAGGAGAGAAGCTTTTACGTAGCAGCAGATGAAGGACAGAAGTTTGCAGGGTTCCTGAGCTGTCAGGATGGTTCACCAGATCTCTTCAATCAAGAGTGAAGGTTATACTAAGTGTTGAAGATTATATGTGAGGGGAGGGGAAGGCAGAAATCCCCAGTTTGTCCCTTTCATCTCTATGTAACAACATGCTGACAGTTTATCCAAGTCATATCTCAAAAGGAAGAGCCTTGCTCTTCCTCAGGATTTTTCCACTGGAAATTGTTGGACTCTTGTCTATAGAATAATACTGTTTCTTTCTTCCTCTCACACCTACCCTTTACTTCAGGTTAGATCTAGAATAATTTTCCTCCTCTGATTTTCTGGCTCTCCTATTAAGAAGTATCTTAGAAAACTAAGCCATTTGTTGCTTTGGCTTTATTTTTTATTCACTTACTTTAATTACTTTGTGGGCCATAGCATGCGTGATATTGATAGATCGGGTAAAACATTCTCGAGCTTCTGAGACTTTCCCCTCACGAAGCAGCTGCTTTCCCTTAAGAAGATTGGCTTGTCGTCTTCTGTAAGGCAAGGTTTTTAAAATATAACAAAACATTTAAGAGGCTGATTTAAGTATCTATAATAAAACCGTAATTCAAGAAACTCTCCTGGAATTAAAAAAGTGCATACCAGGTTCTTGAGAATATTAAACCAGATGCTCTGGGCTTCTGGGCAAAATGAAGTGATTTATGTGTGTATGCACACAATTACATTTTTCTACAACAATGCTTTATGTCAAAAGAAAATGCAGGAACTAAGATACTTTTTAAAAAAGTGGAAATAATCTAGTACACGCAAAATATTTAAGAAAATTTGTTCATGTATGAGGCTATAAAATATGCCTCCACCAATTAAAATTTTATTTATCTTTAGAGACAGGGTCATGCATTTGTCACCCAGGCTGGCTATTATACATGCGATCATAGCACATTTCAGCCTTGAACTTTGGGCTCAAGCAATCCTCCCTGCCCTGAGCCTCTTTAGTACCTGGAACTAAAGGCAAAATCAACATGCCCAGCTTAAAATTTTAAAAAATTGGTAACCTACAGATCACAGCATCTGACCTTAATGGAATTAAGTTGGAGATTAAGTAGAGAATTGACTTACTCTCTTCTGGACTTTTCTACTTCCTTTTTCGAAGGTAAAGTACAGCCATCAAATACGAGAATAGGCTTGATTCCATTAGATAGTAACATATTTAAAAATTTCATACAAAATCCTACATATCTATGGAAAAAAAAGAAAAATGCATGTAAATACTTGGTCTTTCTTAAGGTAATAACTTTTGCTTTATGTTAAACCAGATGAGATAATTCTGAATGAGGTTTTTAGGCAAATGTTTTTATGGGAAATGGAAATTCTAATTTATTAGACTTGGGTTCAAATCTTGCCTCGGATCTTATGAACCATATCATGTCCGGTAGGTTACTTGATCAGCCAAGCTTAGGTTTCCTTATCTGTAGATTAAAAGAGCTTTGACATCTTTAATTCTGTCATTTTTGGCTCTAAATCTGGTCTTCTCCCCCATTTTTTAATTAAAAAAATTTCAAATCTATTAAAAAGTTGAAAAAAGTACAATAAACATTTGATTCCTCTAATAGTATCATATCATACCTGGGAAATTTAACAGTGACACAATACTATCTGATACACAGTCTGTGTCAAAATTTGCCCAATTATCCCAATACTGTTTTTTATACCCAGGTATCCTGCTAAGTGTCTAACAACTATTTCTGGGGAAGGGGTACTTGATTTTCCTGAAAATGGTGATTAAGATACCAACATGGAGTCAACAAAAGCCAAGTTGAGAAGAGGTAGTGTACAGCGAGCTCTTATGAGCTGGCCACAGCATACTGCTGCTACTATTTTTTTCTAAATCCAGGATCCAATCAAGGATCACATATTTCATTCTGTATTTTTTGATTCTGACAAGGCAATTAACAAAACAGGTGCATTTGTAATACCCATTATTTAATAGAAGTTATTTTAGCTCAAAAATAGGAACAGGAAAACATAATCTTAAAAGATAATTCTTAAAATCAAATATGCTCTTCTTAACGATATTAATCTTCTTTTTCTTTTTGCTGTAGATCAGTGACAGTGAACCCGCACTGGTATAGAATGATTAGGACCTGTTGGTTATTAGGCAAAATTTAGTAGAAAGCAAATATGCAATTATAATGAAATTTTAAAGCACAATTACTTTCTTTTTGGTTAACTGGGATTAGCAGTATGTTTTCTGTACCCAAAAATGAGTGTCTGAAATCAGCATGGATTTTCAAAACAATGTTAAAAAGTTTATCTTAGGCTCAGCACCTGTAGCTCAGTGGTTACAGTGCCAGCCACATACCCTGGGGCTGGTGGGCTCAAACCTGGCCAGGTTCTGCTAAACAACAATGACAACTACAGCAGCAACAAAAAATAGCCAGGTGTTGTGGTGAGCAACTGTAGTCCCAGCTACTTGGGGGCGCTGA